AATCATAATTTGAATTCATTATTGTTTAATCGTTCTCATAGATTTAACATATAAGGTGTGATGTCGTTATTATTTATATTCCACCTTAATAAGTTAATAGAAGTAGAAAGATAGTTATCAAAATTATTCCTAATATAGGCTGAATAATAGGCATGCTCATGTCATGCTTGGCATTAGATTACAGGTAGCAATATTATGGTGTCAATTTTCTCTGATCAAATATTCCTCTATTTCCAATGCAATAAAACAATCTTCGTTAATTTCTCATATGATAAAGTTTATAAAAATGAGGGAGACTGAGGAAATTAAATTAAAGGATAATTAAAGGATGAATTTCATTAATAAAACTTTTTTCTCTAAAAAACCATATTTTCTAAAAAAATTATATTATGTTTCAATTGCAAAAAGTTCACTTTTAAAAATAAAATTGCAAAAAGTTTAGTTCAAAAAAAAACAGAAAATTGATAGTTTCATTTAAAAGCTGCACTTTAAACAAGCCTATGAGATGAATGCAATTGAATTCGGAAATATTATTACAGAAGAGAATGAAAGCATTATGTTCATAGGATAAAATGATGATTGCTATGATATCCGAGCAATGATACTGCCTCTTTTTCTCATACAATTAGGTGTCGGCGTTACTTAAATTAAATGTCAACTAGAAGTTAAATTTATGCAAATTCCTATAAGTAATTACATGCTGTTTTATCATATTATGAAAGCAATTATTTGAGCAATATCTTCCTTTTTTTATTTTGTCTTCTCTTTTGCAGTAGACTAATTTTCATTCGTTTATTTTATATCTTTTATTTGAAAGTTTATTATTTTAGTTAAATTCAAAAAAATTTCGCTTAAAATTTTCATGACAAAAGAAATACTCAACCTTTCAATGTTGCAGTATTTCTACTTTTGTTATTAACTTACAATAATTATATCTGATCTAAAAATACATTTATTTCATCGACACTAACAAGATGAATTTTACGTTTGGACTTTTCTTATATTAATTTAATTGAACATTTTTCCTATTGGTAGTGTTATTAGCTAAATTATTGACAATATGGTAGCATTATCCAAATCTTTAAATTTTTTCATTTGCGATTTTTTATTTGAATAAAAAAAATGTGGTGAAAGTAATTATCTTGGAAATAATTTATTTGTTGTTGATTATTATTGGACAATGTTTTAAAATCACTAGAAATTCATAAATTTGAAAAAAAAATCGCAAAGAAAAAATATTGACCAAAAATAGTCAGACGTTTTTTCTTATAAATTTTAATGAGCTTCGGCTTAAATAGTGCATTTTAAATTATTTTTTTCTATAAGTTTTAGATGTTTCTTCAAATAACAATACTTTGATAAATTAACAATTTTAATTTTCTTCCTCTTCCTCTCTGTTCTCCCTCTCTTTCCTTTTTGTCTGTTCTAAATAATGTATGTGACGACGCAAAATTTCTTGTGTAAAGAAATTATTTATATTTGAAATAAATGCCATTCTTTGTTGCAGTAATTTTTCAACAAATAATTTTTTTATTTACTGTAAAAATATTTTAAGTTTTCTTTGATGTAAAAATTGTTTGTGTCGAATTTCAATGATTTCGTTGGATTGATTTAAACGATTTCATGCTGTGCACAAAAAAAGGAAAAAGAAAAAAAAATCGAATAATTGAATGTCTGTAAAAGGTCTCAGCATAAAAAGAATATAATTTCAAAACCAATTCTGAAAGTATTTGCAATTGTAATAATTTCAAATAATGTCTATTTATGATTAAAAATAAGCGAGGTTTTTTATTTTTAATTAAAGAAATTTAAATTTTGAAATTTGATAAGTGTGCAATAGTTTTTATAGTTTTCATGTAGCATTAAGTATAATAAATTCATTCAAAAAATCAATTCTTGAATATGAAACGAAATTCATACATTGAACAGTGTTGTCTTACAAGAAAATGGCTCAAAACTTAGTATCTGACAAAAGATCTACATAAAATCATTGTTGAATTCGTGACATAAATGCCTTTTCTTATGCCCTATTTTGAATTGAAGGAGAAATCATTTACCTCTTTTTTCTATTAAATTAAGAAATTTTGTTATCTCTTTCTAGCAATAGCTTAAACTCACTGTTTAATAGCTTCTTCTAGAAAACTAATTAATGGATTCGGCTTAAAGCGCCACACCCGCATTAATATCAATTTCTTTTCACTTATATTTAATTCAAATTTTCTCAAATGTTTCACTACTTATAATAAAATGTATGAGAAAAAAGCACATTATTTCATTATCAAATTTTATTTTAACCACTGAATTGGGTTTAAAAAAAATAATTTAAAAATTTTTTATATTTCAGTCTTTATTGTTTCGCATTGTTATTTCGCATCATTATCACTTACTTATTTAACAGGCCAGATTTTCTTACATTGCATAGAATTTAGTGACTTTGTATTAAACTGGTAATTTTTCAAGCTCTTGTCATTTTAAAACACTGGAAAAATTTATTATTGTTTGATATTATTGGTAACATTTTCATTATCGTACATTCTTTGTATGATTTTATGCTAGCTTTAATCATTGGCTTATTTAAATTTTGATAAAATCTTTATATTAGTCAAATTTCATTTGGCTATAATCGGAAAATATTAACACCATACATAGGGACATTCATTTCACGAAAACGTAATGAAATTTAGTTTGCCGAATTATATTTGCAAAAATTTCTTTTAAAACAACAATAGCCGGGAAGGACGGAAAAAGCAGGGAGATGGTGATAAATCCGATCATCAGTGCGATATGATATTAATGTCGGAGAAGAAAAAAAGAGAAAAGTAAGAGATTGAGTGAGTTCAATAAAAATCAACTGGTAATTTCAATTATTAATTGCTAAATATCTTGGAAAAATTCAATCTAGCAAATGATTGAACATATTTTTCCATTGATATCGTATTCTAAATTTCTATTTCTTCATTCTTTTCATCAACATAATTGTGATTGTAATGGAAAATGTTATCACTACTCTGATATAATCGAATCAATATTCTAGAAAATTTTATAAAACCCATGTTTTAGTTTAAAATTTCAAAACAAAAAAGACAAGATAATTGAACAAAAGAGTAAGGTAAAAAGAAAGTGAAGGTAGGAGGGAGATCAAGAGGGGTAGGAAAATAGCATTATCACGAAACAGTAATCTGTGATTGTTATTACTTTCTTTAAAAACGAGGATTTGAGAAGCAATTTTGAAAAAATTTGAATCGAAATACAGTTGGGTAAAGCAATCTTTATCGTTCATTATTATTATTAACTGTTCTTATTTTCTATGCTTTTCTTATTATTAGCACAGGTAAATAATGTATTCGCATGAATGACTTTAACAAATATTTTAAGATTAAATTTTTGAAATTACCTTACCCAAATTTTGAATTAATTTCATGCCACATGCATACTACATATTCAATAACAATGTCATCCACTATTGTTTGCTTTATCCCCATTATTTTCAGATCCTCCCTCAAATTTTACTTATTGCTTTTAATACTAATATTATTACAAATAATCATTGTACTTTTTGCTTCCAAGAAATCAAAAACTGTTCAACACTGAATGAAACTGCTTTCATAGATTTCAAATTATCTCATAAATAATATTATTTATAAAATCTTTCATGCAACGTAATACTGTAATTTCTGTCTTCGTAAATAATTGTCTTTGTTTACAAATGCAGATAATATTTGCTATACAAATATATATTTATTAATTGACTTAGCATAAATATCAGCAGTAAAATAGTCGATAAATATGCCCTTTAACTCATTTAGCCTTTTCAATTTAAAATTATGATATACCATTCGAGGTATTAAGACTGCCAAGAAGTAAAGAATATTAAAACAAAATACAAAAAAAAAAACTCGTTGAAAAACTTTAACTAATATTCTTTCTTTCATTAACTAATATTCTATTTCACTGATAGGTAATCATTAAATTGATTTTGGTAATTAGTAGTATTGTAAATCGATAACCAAACATGAGTTGATTTTGAGGCTCGATAATTAACATGGTCGAAATCGGTAGTTAAATATTTAGGAAATCATTAATGAAATCGATGTTAGAAATTAATAAGTTATATGAGAAATATAGTGTTCTCGTTTTCTAAATATGAAAGATGAGAAAAGTGCATTCATGAACGGAGGTTTTTATAAAAAACATTTCGTCTTGCTTGCATAGTGAACTCAGTAATGATTGCTTTTCTTGAATAAAAAGATGTAAAAATCTAAAGCACAGATATTTTTTTAATTCCGGATAATTTTTGTTTATCAGAACTATTTATAACTAACTATCATATCGTATACATTTATTATTCATCTAAAAAATAGATAAATTGCTTTTCAGAATTTGCAACGCTGCTGATTTTATCAACTTATTAACATTATTTGAAATGAATTTTTTTGAGACTATTTGCTGTAAGTTTGAATTATCATTTTAGAAAAGTCAGTATTATAATAAATATATTTTTAAATGCATTATAAATAACAGATTTCCCACAGAAATAAAAGTACCATATGTTTTTATTACATGTTCTTGTTATTTAAGATTTTCCAATAATTTCATTCAAATTTCATTTCATATTCTTACGTTTTTATGCCTTCGAATTTATTTTTTTTTCAAGTTCGGAATGGAAAATATTCCACAATTGCCAAATTAATATCTAAATTTCAAGTACAGTTTAATCATTCAGATATTTTTGGTAATTTTCGAATTTTTCGTGATGTTTTCCAAGTACTGCATTTTCTGATTCAACTTACTTTCTTACTGGTCCAGCTTGAACTGAAATTGGATGCTACCCGTGATTACAACTAATCATGTCATCGACTATTTTTTGAAATGTAAATTAAAAATTTTCTCGGATTTTTGCGCGATTTATAATATCAAAACAAATTCAAATCTCGTAGCTGATTTAAAAAAATTACGAACTACTTTTGTTAATATATTAAGTTTTAAAAGTTTAGATATATATGGTAATTTACCAAAATTCTTTATAGTTTTCCATTCCGAGCGTTTTAATAACTTTACTACCAATAGTAATATTCAACAAATAAAATTTACTGAAAAATTCAAATATTTTATTTTAGATTCATTTTTTCAAATATTTTTTTAATTCTTGTAGACAAACTTATATACAATAATCCGATAAAATTTTATTTTTATTAAAAAAATTTGCAAAGCATAAAATTATGCTTAAAAATAGCTGTGTTATTAAAGAAACATTACATCATTGAGATGACAAATTCAACATTATAATAAAGTTTCATACGAGTTTCTACAGTTAATTCATTAGTTAATTCGTTTTATTATATTTCTGATTTTAGCAAAAAGAGGAAGTAAAATTTTAATTTCAGCGATGGAAATGTATGATTACATTAAGATTTGTAATTTATTTCCACAAAATTACAATTTATATGTGAAGATTGTTCCATTGATCGTTTGAAAATAATATCCCGAATTCATGGATAATAAAACCATTTACGAAATCGACTTTGACAAAGTTTAATTTGCTTTGTTTTCAAAATAATAAAAAATTTTTAAATTCAATTTTATAAAATATGAGGATAAACTGGAATAAATATTCTTGTATCCCAAAATTTTGATAACTTATTAATAACGGAGATGAAAGAAACTCCTTCAGCTTTTTAATTTTTAAAACTACTGATCTTAATTTTTCCAAATTTCAGAACTTTTGATGCTGTTAGGAAGTTTTTAGAATTCTGTATTTGATCCGAAATAAAACTTTACAGGTTAAAATCACTTATCATTTACCGTTTTCAAATCATAATAACGGTGGTTTGATGGCTATTGCATTACTTTATGCATTCTTATTTGTGGTTGGTACTTGTGGAAATGCTGCTACCTTAGCTGTTGTGTACCACGTTAGATCCGTTGATCCCAGGTTAGAAAAATAGGTTAATATAATGAGTAAAATAAATGTCCAAAAAATCAATAATGTATTTTTAAGCTTTACAAATATCTTGAAGATATGAAAAGATTAATAGAACAACTGCTGTTATTCATCTAATTTCCTTAAATTTCCCATTTTATTAGCAATTTTTTGATGCACCTTTTTTAAATGAAATTTGCAGGACTCGACAAAATACTACTTTGACTTATATTTGTGTGTTAAGCATCATTGACTTCATAAGTATGTTGCCGTTACCGATGACTATCATTGATCAAGTATCCATTTATTCATTTCCAATTTGCTCATTTAAGCACTTATTTATTGAAAAGCTAAATAATTTACATTTTAGATATTAGGATTTTGGATGTTTGGAACAGCAATTTGCAAATTATTTCGATTATTTGAACATAGTGGAAAAATTTTTAGCACTTTCATTTTGGTGTGTTTTAGCATAGATCGATACTGCGGTGTTTGCCATCCACTGAAGGTAGTTTATTTGTTTAAAAAAATCTTTTTATTTCTTAAATTTGTCTTAAAAAACAATTTCGATTTTAAAATCAGATTATAGTTAAAATGATCAACAGTATTAGGAATTTGGACCCGCTGAATCTAAATATATAATGCCTAACATGTTAAGAAATTGGCATATTCTATTTCAGGAATTTTCAAGAAACAGTTATTGTGTTGAAAGACATTCGATTATTTCAGGTTGAATTGCGGAAAACAAAAACAGCTTATTTTATGCTAACATTTATGTTCTGCATAACATGTATTATGCTTTGTCCCATCGTGATTTTTGCTCAGTCAAAAGTTGATTTAACCTTTTTTGAATTCCATTATTTCAATTTACAACATGAGAGGTCAAGGCTATTGGTCAGCCAAACAAAAAAGAATATTAAAGCTAATAAAATTGAGAGATTTGTAAAAAAAGTGGAGTGGAAATGAATAGAAGGCAAAATAAAACATAACAAAAGTTAATTAATTTTAAGAAAAAAACAGTAGAATATATTTTAGAATTTCACAGATAAATGATAGAAAGTCGTAAATGAAAGATGATATTAGCAACAATGAAAAGATTATTCATTTTTATTTTTATGATTGCTTTTAATAAAATTAAAATTACAGGAAATAATTCTTCAAGAAAGTTATAACAAAGAGAAGAATGAAATAACACGGCTACATTTATTCAAATGTGCCGACAATTTAGATAATAAGCTATTCATATTATTCAGTCTAACCTGTTTCTTTTTCGTAAGTTTCTCTCTTCGTATATCCTTGAGGGATTCGTTGTTTTAAATGTTGTATTCAATGTTAAGTTAAAATTACTTAAATTCTGAATATTGTTTTAGGGAAAAATTAACTGAAAACAAATTACGAATAACTCTTTTTAAATTTTGGAAGAGGAAAAAAGGGAGGAAAAGAGGAGGAAGATATATATGTAATACATTTCAGTGCACTGGATTCCCAACTATAATTGCATTTAAATTTTTTGTTCAATTTTTCAGTTTATCGTGTTTCAATTAATATGCATAATTTATAATTTCCATTTAGGCTTATCTCATTCCACTACTAATGATGATATTTTTTTATTTTCGAATGTTGCTAACGCTGTTTGAAAAGAATCGAATGATACAACGAAGAGGAATGCAAACTTTTTTTTCCCGGAAATCTTCGATAGAAGAGAGAATACCGGTCACAAGGATTGCCACTTACACACTTCTTTTGTGCTTGTTTCATTTCCTTTGCTGGTTTGCTGTATTAGCTAATTTACTAATAAAATGTTGACCTTTTATTTTTTAGAATTACCATAATAGGCCGTAGTAGTATAGGAAAAATGACATTGAAAAAATTATTTAATTAGGACATGTGCATAAAATAATTCGTAGCTATCGATCTTTTTGCTTAAAAAGACTTTTTTGTTTTTATAAAAGATTCATCTGTCTTTTCAATATGCTAATTTGTGCTGTCTATCTCGGATAGCAACTTTACCTGTTCATGTAACATTTTTATAAGTGCCTCAGCTATCTTCACCTTATCTGAATTATCTATTATGTTCAACTATCATTTGTAAAATTCCTAACTTTTGAAACCTTCTGAAAATGTTTTGAATAATTATTTACAACTTTATGGAAATAATTGGGGAAAATCTTTTGAACTGGTAATAATGAATTTCAGGACACCATATTGGACATCGGTACTTTATTTACTTTATCTCGAAATATTCCCACCAGCAGAATTCCAAATGCCCAATTCATCATTCATTTATTTCATGTATGGAGTTCATGCATTGCCGTATATCAATTCTGCATCAAATTTTATATTATATGGTCTTCTTAACCGGCAGGTTAATTTCTATTCTCTGTTTTTCGGAACAAAAAAAAAATTTTTTTAATAAAATTTGATTTGAAATTTTTTTTGCAAAACTTCACTAAATTCTAAACAAAAAAATTTATTTCTCTTATAAAAAGTTTTATTTTAGTTAAGTCAATCGTGTTCGAAAAAATATTCTAACGTTTCACGAAAAACGCAACGTCGTTTAATTCAACTGCAAGCTGATTTCATGGATTATAATGCCAGAAAAAGACTTTACGATGATCCTCCTTCCTGTAAAAATTTACTTTAAATTGTTGTTTCGTTCGGTATTTAATCAAACAAGTTAATTATAATTTTTAAAAACATTACTGAGCAGAAATAATTACAAATGATAAGTATCAAGTAAAAATCAGTGTAGAAAAATATGTGGATATTGCTGTGGGAGATATTAATTGCAAAATTTTAGCAAAAATACTAAAATTATAATATTTCAAAAATGTTTATTAAGGCTGAAGAAAGCTGATGTAATTGGTATAAAATTATTATTGGAAATGCTTAAAAGATTCTCATATTAGTTTCTAAAATTTCCAAAATACTAAATTTATTATATTAGTGTCAACATGTCACACAAGTATTTAATTAATTTTTTTCTTTTGGTATATAACTTTCATTTACTTTATGTAATTATTTGATTTTCATTTCAGTTTTATCAAATGCTAAAAATGCATCGATCATCAATTCCAATAATATTAGAAATGCGATGAATGACGAGAAATTAGAAAAGAATGCTGACAGAGCAAATATAACTTTAATATCACAAACAATCAATAGCAGCAACAATGGCATATGTATGAATAAATTATCTCAACAAGAAGATGTTATCAGTGTTAAGGATCTATCCAATGTTATCTTAACAGCAACGAACAGCGAGGATAGTTTGAATGATGTAAAGCTCTGATAGTTACATTTAAATTGAATAGCTACAATAATCAATTATTTCTTCAATCTAGCAAGAATATGAAAAATTTTATTTTACCTTCAGAAAAACGTCGAGTGAAAGGGAAAAAAAATCGGAAATCACAAAAGTCGAATTTTATTACAATTACTAAATCATCAAAAAATTGAATTTATGGTATTTGGTAGTTTAAAATTTAATGCATGTATTCGACATAAAAATAACATAAACAAAGTATTATTTTCATAAAATTGTTTGAATAATTTCTCACGGAATACGAGTATTGTTATTGGTAGGCCGAATGATATTATGTTGTAGTATATAAACTATGTCAAGACCGAAAACAATAAATAATACGTATAAATAATAGTGCTTTTTGAGCATTTTCGGAGGATTTCTGTTCTAATATTTATTGAGAAATTGTTTTTCTAAATAAAAAAGACTAAATTCATGAAGTTTCCTTACCAATCAACCAAAAATGACGTATTCATAATATATATGCACAATATGAGAGCGAATTAAAAGATGGAATTAAAAATGGCAAAATATTAAATTTCAATCATTAAATTCATATTTTAGAATATCACAAATTTTGTTTATGAATTCCTTAGATCATCATAAATTCTAATACCGTAGTCTCCAGATTATTTCAAATGTGCGAAATTGTCAGAAATTTCGATTATATGACTATTATAAATGCTTCAACTTAAATAAAAGAACAGTAATTTGAGAAATTTATGATAATGATTATTATATTCATTCGGGAAATTCATGATTGTAATTATCATATTGTTATATATTGCTTCCCATTAAGCTTGCTTCAGTAACTTACTGGATAGCTGAGCATATGATATGATAATAAGCTTAATTTATGCAGTGATAGGCTATAAATTTTAGTTCTTTAAAATTTTAAAATTAAATGACTGTAATTAAATTGCACTAATTTATATAATTTATGATTTGACTTTTGCATTCAATCACAAACATAGATATCAAGCTAAAATTAAATTTGTCAAGTCTTGAGCTAAAAATTTATTTCCAATATATTAGAAGAAGAAATATAAGATATAAACAATAAGTAAATTTGAAGTAATCATAGATATTTTTTCGTAGTTAAAGAGATAAATTATTTTGTTGATAATTTTATTTCCATAGATACTCGTGATATCAACACAACAATATCATGACGATTTAGAATGACATTTATAAATAGCGTAATTGGAACTATAATTTGCATTCAAATAAAAGGTCAATAATTAGATTCAAAACTTAAAATGATGAAATCGGAAAGTAAAGCTAACGTCAGTATCGTTATTATGATATCTTCAACATTTCTCGATATTTATAAGATATGAGTTCTTTTCGCTTGTATCTTGTAATAAAATTAATATAGTTTGTTTTCATTAGACCTAACAGTAAACATATCAGTTCTCCAAGGTTATAACTCTTTCCAATCCTCCGCTTTTCTATCTATTTGAATTCATACCACTTGACCGCTTTTCTCGAAATAAGAGCACTTTAATAGAACACAATCATTTGGATGGATGACAAGCAAGTTCATACCATTTCAACTCAATAATTATGCAAAATTTGAAATTCTCTGATTGTGCGAATAAAATATTACAGTGCATCAACTGTGTTATTAATTCTCTGCTTGGATTACTGGAATAATTGAGGAAAACAAATATCCTTCATTCTTCTAGCAGTACAAACAAAGGAAAATTGAATGATATTTATTTTATATGAAAGGTTAAGGTCAGAGGAGAGATAAAAACCCAAGGAAATCAATCCACAGAGTACCTTTTAAAAAGGATACCGCGAATAATAACACTCTTTTTCTTTCACGATCCTTTTTATTTATCCTCTGTTACAAATAAATTATGAACACTCTTCAAGCGCTCTTAATCACTGCTCTATAGAACTACAAGTATTAATTCATTTACAGCCTAATTAACGTCGATATGCTAATTAATCTGTGAGAGGATCAATAAAATGGAATATCAATATTCAATATTCAACCAAAATTAATTTTCGGCTTCCAAACATCGCTGCTCATTTCACTGAGACTCATTTGCTTTAGTGAACTGCTGTTTTCAGTTCGCATTTTTCATTTTATTAATTTTAATTCGTATGCGCTTTCTTGCAATTTTACTTCTAATTTTTTTAAAAAAGTAATATATCTTTCTACAGGATTAATACAATTAAGTATGCTATTCCCTAAAACATAATAAACATTACTGATATCTCAGAAGTGTATGATACTTTAAATTCATTTTTACTGAAGTTTAAAAAACTGAAACGAGAAGTAAAAAGGCAATTACAGATGTTCAAATATGCTTTATTATTCATTATTATTCAGCGTAGCAACAAAGGCAGAATTGAATTTATAGACATGAATGTGGTAACCAATAGTGGTCGCTAAGGCCGCTGTAATCATTTACCTTCAACCCCTCCACCGTCGTACCCAAATGTCCTCATCGGCGGACATTTGGGTACGAAGGTTGAGGGTGACATTCTCACAATGAGTAAAATACAACACATTATCGGTTTTGAATAAATGAACCACCATCCGATTTATTTCGCAGATCATCGGCCGCTCGGCGACAACACACATTATTGTCCTTTCCAAAGAACACCCATCATTTTCACTTTTTTTTAAAGGCTTCAATCCATTGCTAAAGTCATTACCGCTTTTGTCGTTTCATTTCTCGTGATAATTTTTCTTGAACAATTTTTCCATTGTTATTTTTGTGTTTTATATCGTATAATGACTTATAAAACTTTAAATTTGTTATTCATTATAGCTTCATTTTTCAAATTTTTAAAACATATGCATCACTTTTCAAAGAAGTTAGTGGTTTTGGTTCTTTTTTCTCCTGGAATTTCGATCAACAAATTCGAATAAATTGAAACATAACTATTCTATTCCACAGTGCTTACTGCACCCAATGTGATGCGAAATAAATTATCCATTCATTGAACTATAAGAAGAAAGATAACTTGCTCCGCTTATCGAATTATCATATTTAATTTTTTAGTGTGGATTTTTATCTTTCTCAAATGACATTGAAAATTTCCTAATTCCTAATGGATTTATTACTGAGAGATTTGAAGGAAAGGAAAAAAATTCAATTTAAATATTCGATGAAATTTTAAATATTTTTAAATGTAACAACAAGGAGAAAGAGACTAAATTTTGGTTGGAAGGCTTTTGAAAAGAAAATGGAAAGCGTGAAGAACAGGTGCAATGCACCGAAGCATTTGCCATAATAATTACCTGTGCATATTTTATGAGCTTCCCAAACGATGACATATTATGAACAATGCAATTTATACTACCTGTCCTTCATTTATTTTTTTTCTTTCTTTTAAATCTTTTCTCTTTTATCTTTAAAGGAGAATAAAATACTTCATAAAAGAAATAATGGAATAGTTAATCGATTATAGAGCTGTATCAAATTTCGGTTTTTCAAAAATAATGTACAAATAAGTTTTGGGAAGGATAATTAGACGGTTTAATTGGAATATGAAACAGTTATTAAATGCATTCACATTTGAGTGGTGCGTTTGATGATTTTCAATATTTTGTTTCAATTTCTAAACTGTGAAAATATTTCAGAGCGAACAAAATCATGAGAGTAGCAAGGGTGCTGTCGATAGTATTAATACTAATAACTACTGCTAATGCCGAGGGCTTTGGTATGTTAAAAAGCAATATATTGCATAATAAAATTCATCTCTTGCTATATCTGAAAAATCTCATTATTAAATTTTTCAATTTATATACAGAAAATAACAAGTTTTAAGGTGAACATTTATATTTTTTTCTGGTTTCTTACAAATTTCCAATTATCTGCAGTATTGTGTAATTTAATTAAATTCACAATGCAGGATATAATATTTTCTACCAAATTTCTTTTGAATCCTTTTTACCAGCAAATAATTTTTGCATTCCAAGTAATTAAAAGTAATTAAACTTAATTGATCCTTAGCATTGATGAATAAATTATTCACATATCATTTGATGCTTCGCAGATTCGAATTATTTATTCTTTTTCGGCAAGATGGATGTTATATTCAGATGATAACAGAGAAAGCTTAGTTTCTTTGTTTCTTCTCCAATTCACTCGTTCAATACAACAGGCCTGTAGAACTTATCAATATCACTTATCAATATCCAACACTTATCTGTGAATTGCTCTTACTCTACAGATATCCAATTCATATCGTATTTACTTCATATTTTTCCACTCATCTAATTTTCAGTTGAAGAGGTATCTTGTACTGCCGATGCTATCAATGTGGTTTTAAATAAGACCGATCCGGACGTGCAGCGCTGGATGTCAGATCCAAAAGCGCAGCCGGTTGTTTACGTGTACGAGCACAAAACTCGTCCGCCATGCGGTACAGCAATGAAAAAAGGAAATTCGGTTAATTATAATTTCACCATTCCATATGGCGATCACTGTGATGTACATTTAACTGATTTGGTTCGTTGTAAATTTCTTCCTTTATTTGCAAATATTTTCAAATATGCTGCAATTTTTTTGGTGCTTTTAAGATACTAATTGTCGTTTTTTAGAATCTTTCAATATACAGTACTTACATTCCAGAATTTTTTCATTTATTATTTCGGGAAAATAATACTGAAGCGGAAACGTCTATTCTTGATTTGGTTTTGTTACAAAAGGAAATTTTAATTTTGAAAATTGATTGGACTATACGACTGAATTTTTTTACATTTTAAAAATTTTGTCCTTCTTTATTTCACTCGGAATTTAAAAAAATTTCAAAATTTTAAGGAACCAAATTATCGTAATGCTGAAACCACAATAGCACTTGAGAATAATGCAGATATTACGCCATCGAAGACTATACGTGTTAATCACGTATTTTGCCTGTATACGAGAAGTGTGCAAACTATACGATTCAATGACATATCCAGGTTATCTTGAATTTAAATTTACCGAATTCTAATAACTTGATTTTTAGTGTATGATAATTCTAATTTTAATAAAATCACCCGTCCTAAATATTTGTTAAATAACAATTCGTATATATATATAATCATAACTTAATTAATTTGGTCGCTGCAATATAATTGGTATTTCGAAAAAGCCGAAAGGTCAGCACGCATTTGAACACTTTTAGCACACATGCTAAGACCAGTGGAGTGTAAATTGTGCATTCAATCGTAAAATCCCAATTACTCTTCTCTTCTTCACTTTAAAATCCTCGCAGAGAAAAAAGAAGTTTTAGTAAATGAATGGTTTTCGTGTTCTCGCTTTTTATGCCTTACACACTATAAATGAAGTACATTTTAAGAACGATTTAACTATTCATTAAATAATAGAAGCTTGAATTGCAGTGGTCATGAAGTGGTTGCATCAACTGGCGGAAAACCAAAGCCTAAAGTTGAAATGATTTTTCGTAGCATTGATGGAAGGCCTCTGCGAGCTGCTAAATTTGGTGATATCGTTGAGTTTTATGTCGCCCTTTCACCAGACAGTATGTTGATGATTAAATTTGAAATCTGGAGAATTTTAATAGTTATCATTATTGTTATTGCAATTTGAAGTACTTTCTGCGATCTGCAAGGATTGCAAGGTAAAATATGACAGAGTTGTGTGAAATTATTGGTTAGTTCAAATCATTCAGCATTGATTCGTGGAGCAACAAATGAAATGCTTTCAAAGATAACAAAAAAAAGGACAAGTTGCTGTTATGATAGTTTTCAGAAGCTTATCATGGGATTAGCCCCAAAGAGTGCATGTTTTCTGATCGAGAGGATATGTCATCACCTGATGCAAAGCATTTGACTTTTGTCCAAAGCAGGTTAATGATACGCAAGTTTTGATATATATATATATATATATAAATGGATTTTTAATTTGATAATAATAGATTATTTACGATAGTCTATGCTCATTAGCAAATTATGTGCGCATATATTAAAACTTAAGTTCCATCAATACATTTCATTTCTCACTTAAAAGTAATGATAGGTAACAAAATCATGATAAGTTTTAACGCAATCACTGACAGGATAGGAGCCTTGTGCAAATTCGATTTTACAATTTTCAGCTGTCCGGTAGATGAAATGAGTGAAATCATCGATCCGCTGGCAAACGTCAATGAAGAGGTATATTTTTCGAAATTCAAAACCTTTCGTTTTGGTAATCAATCGACAGTATTTGCTCATTGTACCGTCCAAGTATGCCTCACCACCGAAGAATGTGCACAGGTATTAATTACTACATTTTAAAAGAAAAAGTGATCAACTTTATCTGAGATATAGAAATCTCATAAAAGGAATATAGTAGGAGTGATAAAACCTTATCTAAATAGTCAAACGAACTGTCTGCTTAATCAAAATTTATTATATAGCAGAAATGTGTAAAGTACTAAATTAATTTCATTGTGGAGAGAAAAAATTCTGAATTATAAAACTGCAGAAAGAAATTTGTCAAAGCGCAATTTTTTAAGTAATAGAATAAAAAAATTTTTGCCATATTTTATTGCAGCATAAATTTTTTGATTATCTTTCCAGAAATGTTTCAAACGAATCAGCAATTCGAATTTAACTGCTGAACGATTACGTTTTCGCCATAGACGTCAACTGGAAGATGATTATGATACTACAGTATTTCGTAAACAAAATGCTATCAATGAGATTGCATTGACACGTCCATTGACTATTTTGGATGATATGGAAAGCAATGAAGGTTCCAATGCTTCTTTTTTCTGTTTTGATTATTCAAATAATCTCATAAATACTTTTTGCTTACATTTCTTCTTCGAATCTAAAAATACAAATTAACACAATTAAAACATATATTAGTCGAAATATTTCATTGCGTTTTTATTCCAGTAAATGGTAAGAAAGTGGAGCAATGCCTTATCAACAGCGCTGTCATACCATTGCCAATTCTTATCCTCATCTTATCACTCTCAATGTTATTAATTACTTGCTTCACTGGACTGGTGTTTACTTTGAAACGATTAGCTGCTTACAAAAAGCTTGCCTCATACAGTTTTGGCATATACAGGTAAGTAATCCTACTTACCTGAGATTTAGATTTGTCATCATCACTCTCATATTCAGAATTAATTATTCAAAACCTATTGATTTGCATGTATGTGTATTAACATTCTTGAAAATGCAACAAATTCTTTATTTTTTCTTAATTTTGCACTTTCTCTCTAATGCAATGATATATTGTCGCACTGTATTTCGTATTAACAACTTTAAAAGTTTCATTCAAAAAAAAAAGAAAGAGGAGAAGATAAATAATGCAAAAAATAATTGAAATTTTCAACTTTGATACAGCAGATTCAAAACGAAGTATAGTTAAAGAAAATTGGATAACTTTTGAAGCTATTGAATTACTTAAATGATCAGACTACATTTTCAGTGCTTATTCCGGACCAACAGCGTCACTTCCAATACGATCTCTGACTGATCCAGCGGTACGTAGTTTATCTAATAACGGTAATCGAACAACTTGGATGGATCAATTGTCGACACGAATCGAATATCCGTATGTTCGAGAAATGTACTGATCGATTTAAAAGCCTCAAACATCATCATCTGCCTAATTTTATGCCTGAAAAAATATAACATAAAAAATTGAACCAAAGCAAGATATTTATTCAATTGAATTTTTAATTATAGTTCGTTCATTGACCTCTCCATTAAGTGATAAAGTGATAAAGGATTACAGCTTGCTGTTGGTGAGCAAATTCTCTTCTTCCCACTATAGAATTCACACAGATGTACAGCACATTAATGTTGCTTTTAGTGCATGCTTCTAAAAGGAGTAAAGTAATTAATTACTTCACCTGCCAGATCATTTCCTTATCATTCTGAGATCAATTTTTTTTTACAGAAACAAATTTAATACGTTACATTGTTTGTTTGTTCATCTTTTTCTCTATTAACTTTCAGCATACATATTATTCTCAATTCACTAAATTTTGTGTCCTTCGGTTGTTGAATTATCTGTTCATTGTTTCCTAATGTTTCTTAAAGTTATTATTTACTCCTACATTTGCATATTTACTTTCTTCCACTCGATTTTCCAGTTTAACTTAATAAAAAAATTTGCCAGTAATTCATCCTTTCCATTTATATCTATTTTGATTTATATTGACTAATTTAAAGTTTTGTGAAGAACGAAGGAATACGGCACGATATGCAGATGATAAGGCCTACCAGATTGCTCTCAGGGTAACGTATATGCTTAAGACACAATAGTTTTATTAAAAAAAGAAGCTTTTCTCAAAAATCTGCATTTTTTTCATTTGTCATAATGTCAATTTACCCACGAAGAAAAAGTTTAAACTTTCACAAGAGAGAAAATTCTTTGGTGATTTAATTTAGATTTGTTTGCTAATCAAAAAATAGAAAACAAACAAGCTATTCTCACCTGTCAAGTGCAAATATTATTTAATCATTTTGATTTTCAATCAAAGGCAGTTTTTTCTCGAAAATATTCTGTGCATGCTAGAAATATTGTACTTATTTCTTCAAAGATATTATTCAAAATATATTCAGATTCGTTTTATATTTCATTTCGATTGTTTTTATTATTGTTTATTTGTATGGAAGACAAAAAAGACGATGTGAAAAAAGAAAAAAGCAAATAGAACTGCAGAGGAATTTCTTGATAGAAACAATTTCTTGACATGATAGATACAAAGTTTACAGTATTCATGAAATGAGATAATTTGACCTTAATTACTGGGAAATTGGCTAAATAATTTTAAATATAGTTTAATATACAATGTCGAGGTGGAAAATTCGGAACATTATTGATATGGTGAAGCGCCAGTTAAATATGCATTTACCTCAACATTTTTCGGTAATTTCAGAAGCTTTTATTAAATGAGCTCAATTAACATATTCTTAGTTTTGACCTAAAAGTGAAGGTTAGCTTGAAATAAAACTTCTCAAGCTTACTAGAAAAGTATGATAATCTCAACTTTGATATATTGTAATCTGCAGATGATCAGTTTAAAATTTCGAACTTTGCTTCGCAAATTTGCTTCACATATTCTGTTGGCAAATAATCTAAAATAATGGTGAGTTAATCGGCAAATGCGAATAGCACACATAACGGGATCGTGCGACATTGACAGTCTGTTGGACAGTCATCAAAGTACAATATATCATAAACATTTCTATTTTTTGTTAAATGTATTTGACGCATTCAAAAAGAATTCCTTTTTGTTCAGTCAGCAAAAACAACTTTTCATTACGTTTACAAAATGCGAATTGTAGCAATATATTATTGAAACAAACGACAAATCTTTCATTGTTTATGATAGCAATGGAATGATTATGAAATAAATCAGTTAATCTGTCAACTTTCAATCGTTATAATCGATTATAATTTGTTGTTTACACAAATAAAGTTAAATTTTTATGGCCATCGTCTATAATTAAATAAAAATACCAAAGCATAAGCTGTTTATACATTCATTCTTATACTAACTGACAAAAACTTTTGCGGTCAAATTGTTTCTTATGCAACCGATTTTTTAGGGTAGTTATTATCATAATTTCAAGGATTGATAAAACAAGAGTAATACAGTAAATAATTTATTCATAAATTAAACAAAATCATAATAAGGATGTCACATCGTTTAACCTTAAATAATACATAAAATGAACTGAAACATTCGAGAAATATTTTAATTGAACTGAAGAAAGTAAATGAATGACAATGTTTTCAAAACATTCATGTCGTTTGTTTTTTTTTTCAAAATATTAGTTATAATGAAATTTATTCATTGGAAATTTTAGAATGGAAATATTTTTAAAATGATGACAAGCGTGTGTTATCAGTCAGATTTGTGGCATTTTCAATTTCTCAAATTTTGCTAATGTTTTAAAAAAAATTTTTTTTTAAAGTTCCATTTATAATTTCAAGTCGTTTTTCGCCTTTCGGGTATCCAACTGTTGCAATATTGTTAATACCGCCTAACTAATTCAAATATTCATTCCGCCAGGCGCTTCGAAAATTGTCTGCAAAAATATTTTTAAAACGCACTAAGTGAAATCTTATCCATTTGTCTATCTTATCCAATACAGGGAAACTAATCTGCTCAGCTGGTTTTCCATAGCAATTCTTGTTTCGTCCAATCAATTTTTTTCCTCAACCAATATTTTAAAATGAATAATAATTTGCTCGTAGTCAATATTGCAAAACAATGTATTAAAAATAATGTTTTGTTGAAATTTAATGCTTTTTTATGTTATAATAAAATATGTGGCAAATATTTTAAAATAGCAATATGAGGACAAAAATAATTTCAAAAATAATAAAAAAGCGCTACTTTGAGGTCGATTAAGCTTGCAAAGAAATAAAAATGAGTACTTGTAACAGAATAAGTTTTTTGAGACTATTAGAATGAGATTTTAAATCGAACTGTGAAATTCAATTGAAAAATTTATAGCTTTCGCGTTGTCATTTGGCTATTCTTTTTCACTTAATTTTTAGAAATTAAATGAAAAATGTATTAAAATACATACAAAGTAATGATTAGCTGCTTCATTGCCTCTCAATTCCATAGCTTTCTGGCGATTTTCCTGGATCGTTTTTCTGACGTACTTTTCTGTCCAGACTAGAGCAATTGGTAAGGTTAATGCATATATCGGAGTTTGTTGTACACCTGAATTTTAGTAACATTTTCCATATAACTCACGCGTATGGATATTTTTTAAACTCACAATTTTATTGTCAGTAAGTTGACAGTATTATTTCTTTAGTAAATTGGACAATTGATATGACACTGATATAACTTTATGAAATGAAAGACACCGACAATTTAACAATATTTCAAGAAAGTTGTGGTTCTCAGTAAAAGGAATGTTCCCGATATATAACTTTAAATTTCAGCGAGCACAATAAAAATCCAAATGATTTTTTCATTCTTTTCAATCCATTAATTCCAGCCATAATGTACCGCCAACTCTTATCATGCAAAACTGCCAAATTTAATTTTATTTACGTTTAATTTGAAAAAAAAAAACATCCGAATACTTACAAATTTTCTATTTTTATTTCCATATAGGCCACATTTTAAAAATTTAAAATATTTTGTTACCTCTGTAATTGCTTAAAGAAAGGAAATGAAGTTTGAAGTGGCAGAAGAAGGTTATTAAAGTTAGCTGATATAACGAATGCAAAGGAGAAATAGCATTGAAGGAAGAACACAAATCTGTCACTCCCTTTCTCCCTTCCTCACAGTTACTCAGCTATATGAAGATTAAGCATTTGATGAGAGTAAGTGGAGATGAGTGGGTGACGGAGGACTGCACCGCAGATAAACCACGTTGGCGATATCTACCTAAAGTGTTCCCTATGTTGACGATTAATTCGTGTAGCAAAACAGTTCATTCATAGATAAATCAAATCACTAATGGCGAATGGGTAAGGTTCTAATTCATTTTGTTACGTGTGATTTATAGTTCCATATTGTTCAAACTTTACACTTCTTGCCATTCCTTAATTTCATTCAAAACATTCTTTTTTCTTCAGTTTATTCTAATTCTCTACTTCATTTTTCAATATTTCTCCACGTTCACATATTTTCTGTGAATTCCAAAAAACTGGAATACAATTAAGAGTGTAAAAGATGAAGCGAACCTTCCAGATAGATAGCAAATTGCTTGTGGGAAAAATTGAAGTCAACAGCAAAATACATAAACAGTGCGCCGAGATAAAATGCTAAAAATAGAGAATGAAATGCCACCATCGGCGATAATGTTTGAAGGGAATGTATATTTTCCATAATTTGATAACGATGTGATAAGTTGGCGTGAATTTTGTTTCGGTGAGATCGCTGAAGTTTTTTCAATCTTTGATTTATTAATTGCATCAGCAGATAAACGCATAAAAGATAAGCAAAATGTAATTAAAAGAGAGCCTTTGTTCGTTACTTATTTAAAAATTTTGATTTCAAAAATGTAAAATTGGTTTCTCAAAACCATTGGAACCTTCCCCTCTCAGTAATCTGAGAGCAATCGCGTCACAATCGGTCTCATCTCTCATAATTCGCATAAATCTAATCAGATCGCGTATTCTGTGCATGACTTAGCGACTATCCCCTGAAGATCAGGTGAAACAACGCCAATCCATCAGAATGATAGCTAAGAAATCAGTATGCATATACATTTATAAGTAAAATTAAAAATATAATTAATCAATTTCGCCTTGTTGATGGAAAATTGAGTGAAAAGTCCAAGCTAGAAATGAATTCGGTGATCATTTAAAAACCGACGATTCATTTTTCTTGATCGCTATTGAATAGTAATCTGTTTTCCAAATCGAAAAATTTTAAATTGCAGCACTTATATGATAAGTTAGCGTTAGTTAAGCAAATGATTTTTTGCATGAATATGCAAGAGACGTGGTAGCTAAGTCAAAAGATCGTCGAGAGAGTCAACAGTCCTTTGTTTATCTTTGGATTGCAATTATGCGATTGGATGACAGGTAAGATGACTCACTTCAGAAGTTGAGATAATAGAGGAAAAAACTGAATCAATGCTAATTTAGCCCTGATAACCTATCTGAATTTAAAACATCCCTTGTTACACCCATGTTCATAATCCATTTGTTGTTATCATATTATCAGCCCCGCGGAGCAGTTTTAAAAGACTTACAGTCAATTTTTTCCCTTAAATTAAATAGTTGCGTTAATCTCTCCGTTAATTTATCTTTTTTGATGTATATTATATGTGGAAAATTAAAATATAAAATTGCCTTATTGATGAAAAATAAAATTGGAAAAGTTAAAGCAGAGATGAAATCGATGGTCATATAAAAGCCGAAGACGATAGCAGATTTTAGTGCGTTCCTTTCATTCGCTGACGAACAGTAAACGACCTTCTCCGAATCGAACAATTTAAAATTGCTAACAACAAACAAAAAGCTTCCAATAGCAATCGCTAACTGAAATGTCAAAAAAAATTACAAAATAATTCTCAGACAACATTGCAGGTTGCTATTATATTTTTAAATCTCAAAGAGCCGGAATTTCCTCGCATCAATTTTCTAGCCAAGTCATAAGACAGCTACTTATATTTCATTAGCACTCAAAAAAATCGAAATTTATATTCCATGATATATTCAAATTACAAAATATTTTTAAAGTAGAATTTGTCAAATGATTAAATAGAGATTTAAGTTCTTCTTACCTGTGCTATAACAAGAGTAACAGCGACACTTTTGCCGAATTTCTCGTATCTCGACGAGAAGTACGTAGCGATAGCTCGCTCGATAACTATCGCAGCTATCGAAGCCGCATTCAGCAACAATGTCAGAGTGATCGGTGTTCGCATCATAAAACATTCCCATGGAAATGTCATATACTCACAGGGGTCAACATAGTTCTTCCGATATGTCATTAATACATATATGTGGGCAAATATTCTACAACATAATAAATTTTTCTCAAATATTATAATGTATTCAGAGAAGAATTAAAAGATCAATTTCTGATGTTCTTCGTTTTCGCCATCAGTAATTTTATCACACTTTACGGTGCAATCAATATCTGTGTTACACATCTCATTCTTTACTTAACGACACTGTTTAATTCAATTTTAAGACTTTGACGAACAAATTAGCATTGAAGTTATTTCTTTTCTCATTTTTAGCGGAATTTTGTGGCGATGAAAAAAAGCTAAAAGATTTCTCGAGTTTTTAATCACATAGAATAAATTATCTGCATTCACAACCATATCACAAAATTAAGCGGAAAAGAAGCAGATATCTTCTGGAATAAAATCTATTATCATAATGCCACTAATACATATTTTTTCAAGTCCTTGAGGTGATAGGTTAATCTTATGATAATATTATCAATGTTATCACAAGATTAACCTATCACCTCAGGGACTTGAAGGAAGTGCAAAATTCAACATTTAACAAAATAGCATTATTACCTTTTGTTTGAAAGTGATTGTAGAAAAATGTAGAATTTTAGTTTCCAAACATTTGACAAAAAAACAACCTTGAAATACAATGAAAAATAAGCCAGAGTTGATGTACGATAATCAAAATCCGAGTATTTTGATGTACTAAAATATGAATTGTTGTCTTAAATATTATCCATATTTCAAGAGCAATTGCTATAATTGATACGATAATCTCAGTAATAAGAATAATACTGAATAGGACACTGTGAGCCAGCTCATTTGCTTCTGTACATAAATTAATGCTCATAATAAATCTGAAAATTTTATAGCTTACAGCTTTGTAAAACTTACAATGAAAGAAAGAAAATGTATAAAAGAAAAAAACTAAGAATTTATTTGAGGAATAAAAAGAAAAAGAGAGATCCGCAAGAATCAAAAGCAGAAAAACAAGATCTGTAAGAACCAAAGTCAGAAAAAGAAAAATCCGTAATACAAACGCAATTAATTACCGGAAGTTTAATTTGCAACAGTTTGAAAAATCATATAATTTATAATTAAACCACTAATTAGCAGTATTTTAATGCACATTTTTTCCGAGTAACTGCATAAATATGAAAGGAGATTGAGAATGTTGAATGACAAAACTTTCGAACTGATCATTAGCCAAGTTTTAAACTACTCATTAAATAGATTATAAGACATCACTGAGCATAACAAATTGAAAGCATTAATAAGTTGGAGACAGGGAAAGAACGCAGAAATCAATTTCTTTAATGCTATTTTTATGCGGACAAAATATCGAAAAATATCAGACCATTTCAATTATCAAATCGCCGCGTTCAGTTCGGATTCCATATTTTTGGCTTGATAAATATATCAGAAAATAATATGAATGCGAGAATGTTTGCTATGTATTAAAATAGGAATTGTTGTCTTAAGTATAAAATACGAATTTGTCTTAAGCGTAAAACCATGAGAAATTGCTATCATGCAATTACACGAGCAACTGCTATAATTAATATGATAATCTCAGTAAGAAGAATAGTGCTGAATAGGACACTGTGAATCGGCTAATTTGATTCATTTCAATTATAATCATGACAAATTTCTCATATATATATATATATATAAATAAGAAGTTCATAAATAAGAAAAGAAACAATGATTGCAAGAAATTTTACTAGCAATAGCTTTATACTTAGAATTGACAGCCGTAATTATTAATATGCTGATATACGTTACACATCTTTTCTTGGCAACTGCATGAATATGAAAAAAAAGTGAGAATGCTGTCTGACAAAACTTTTGAATTGATCATTAGCCAAGTTCTGGAGTACTGATTAAGTAGAATGTGGAAAATATCACTAAATTATCATGTATGGAAAGCATCACTAATTAGAGACAAGGAAGGAAGCATCTGTCAGTACCGACCGTAGTGCGTTATAGATTGGATAGGAAAAAGCTAATAAGAGGTACTGACGACATCCATCATTTATAATTTTACTGTGATCCAAATGATGTTTTCACGTTAACTTTGTCTGTTCAATTCGTGTCGTTCTTTAAAAATATCAGATCATTTGTCCTATTTGACGAGTAATGGATGACATATGCTTGTTTTGGTGAAATTTTTGGAAAAAAAAAACACAAATTAGAGATGATTTAATGGATGGATGATTATAAATTAAATCGTACAATGATTCATTCCATATTTCAACCTCTCTGTTTACCCATTAAATTACAGAATAATAAATATTGAGCTAATTTCCATTCAATTTACACTTCCTCTTCATTTCCTTTTACAAATAGCTCAGACTGTCCGGAAGAAGACCCGCATGCTTTGAAAGTTTTCCTATACTCATTTTTAATAATCTCGTGCTGCAAAGAATCTCAGCTAGTTTTCGCATAATTATTGTCATGCTAAAAAGTTTTGCATTCAACAGTTATTGGTGGTAAATCCAAGAAAGATTGAAGATACTAATAGCATGATAAGATTGGACATTTAACAAAAATGATAAAATCCCTTTGATAGAAATAATAACAAACAGACAACTGACAACAATAAAGATGTTCTAATTTGTGGAGTAAACAACTGCAATCGATGCTAACACATTAGCTAAAATTTCTGATTTATAAAATTCTTCAATATCGAAAATTTGAGAAACAATTTTTTCAATTTAAATAAAAAATTTTCATTTAAATAAATAAATATTTATAGAAATAGAAAAAAGTTTTCTAGGATTTTTAATGAATATTTTTCATTTTCAAGTTTGGAGAGTAAATGAAATAAATTCCTGCAGTAAATGACTCAAATATTAGCAGCAAATAAGTTATACATTACCTTAAAAACACAACAGCTCTTCTCTTTTATAATATAAACATGTTATCTTTCGAAAAACTTTGATCTTTAGTTTTTCTCTGCAGATTTTTAATGAAGGTACCGCATTCGAGAAGGAAATACGTAATTAATGAGTACGAAATTTAATTTATCGTATTTTGAACTTCAACAAGCCAAGGTCCAATTTCATCAAAAAATTTTTTTTCGATTTCTAATGTCTAACTCGAATTAAAGATAGCCGAACTTCCATTAATTCCGCAAAACATTCTTTAAAACAATGTTACTGCAAGTTCCTAGTGAAAGACATTCGATATATAAATTTTAATTTTTCGTCCCAAAAGCTTGAATCTCATGCAATTTATTGATTTGTTCTTAACTATTATGAACTGAGTTCTATTCATTTTTCATACTGCTCAAATAAGCATATAAAAACAAACAGAAATTAAAATATACAACGTCAGAAGAAATTAACTTGCAAAAATTAACGTCAAAATTCATTTCTGTCAGGAAATAAATCCATATCATTGTTCCTGAAAAGACATTATGAAGCTATTGAACATTAGAAGTTCCTAGCATTACTAATGCTGAAGAGAAGAAAAGCAATAAATATGTATAAGTTCGTAATATCATATTGCTAACAATGAGGTACACGTATGAATTATAATCGCCGACGCAGCACTTCATGGGACAGTGAAAGGAGAATAATTAGAAAGTGATATGCTTAATATTCAAACAACCTTTCAGAGAATGGTAATATACAAAGAAAAAATAACAAGAAGCTTATGAGTATTCATGTGTGTTAGCACTCAACAATATCCAAATAATGCACTGTACAAGGTTGAAAAAAGCTAATCATAAAAGTGAATTATAAACAATTGGAATTAATCCTTTTAAAACAAAATAATAAAATCATTCAGTAAAAAGGAATCGAGACTATTCCCTATTTGGACATAATTCATCGCTTATTTTTCGATAAACATTTTCCATCTGTTTGTGACATTCTTCACTCACACTGTCAATATCGGAATATGCAAATGGATCAATTGCAGGAAGAATTTCAATTATTACACGGCCATTACAGTCAAATTTATAATCAGCCTGGAATGAATGAAAAAAGATCTACTTACAGTTTTAAGATGTAGTGGGATTAATACAAATCATAAACTTATTATAACAAGACATTTCAACTAGACAGATATGACATTAGCAGGAGTAACAGTTTAATAAAAGATTAAATATAAAATCTAACTTTTCGATAAAATGATTGATATGATGAAATTACTACTGGGACGATTGGAACCTGCAAAAATATAATTAGAAACCTGCAAAAAAATATAATTAGATGCAAGAGAATAGGTAATGCTGTTAACTTGAAAAGTGAATATTCGCTTTTTCAATCTCATTCACTGAAAATAAGAATGAACTGCCTAACTGAATAAAGCTTTAAAAACCATCTATTTCTATTTTAACAATTCAAAAAAGGGAAAAAAATTATGAATGACATACGCTGGCTTCACGCGCTATAATGAAAGCACCTTTTTTAAAGGGGAGCATTCTATCACTTGTGTTTCTTGTTCCTTCTGGGAATATCCATATCTTTCTCTGAAATTGCACAAATTGTGATTTTTTAGAAAATAAAAACCAATGCAAATTAGAGTTAGTTCCTCTCACTTTCTACTCATATTACACCTTAGTATTTATTCAAAAGGAAAAAGGGGAAGTGATGTGCAGTTGTAATAGAAAGCGCAAATTTAAATGATATCTTCTATATGGATTCGATGAAAAAATTATTTTTTCTAATCATGACATTTGGACGGTCAGCAATAAAAAGGAAAAAATCTGTGTCGAAAGTGAAATAATCCGAAGACTTACATGGTTTCGTATTGCATTGATCGCTTGCTCAATTGATTTGTGCGCATCGACTTTGCTGAATCTATTTATGAAAATAGCTTCACAGAGATACGCACAAACATTAAAACCGGGCATAAATTTTAAACTACTCTTTAATAAAACAACGCAGTTCTCGGGCCAAACGTGAGTTAGAGCTGAAAAATACTTTACGTAGCATTTATATACTCAAGTTGAAAAAAGTTCTTTGCTACCTAGTCATAACCTAGTCGAATCATTCGCTGAAAGCGCAATCCTAAAATGTTAATACTATATATGGACCCGATTCCTTAAATTTTCCAAAAGACAACTTAAGAATTTTACGAATTATCGCCATACAATTTATGCAAAGAAAGCAGCCATTAGTACTATTTCTTGAGCATTTCGAATATAACCTGCAAAAACATGGCCTTTGAAATAAAGTAAAATGATCCACTGGAAATCACCTAACTAATGACTTTTTCTCTACTAAAACTTCACCTGCTAAAATGAATTTGAAATTAAAATCTGATTCCCTTAAATCTAAGTTTAAGTGCTACTCTAAAATTTTTCCATTTTGCTTGTCAAAAATTAATTAATTTCAAATAATCAAAAGAAGGAAAAAATTATCAAGAATAAATCATACTTAAAACATCTAGCATAGTTTGATGATTTGCAATAATAATAAATGAATTATCGGTTTCGATGAAATTCCGGTTGCGTATTTCATAGGATATGCCACACCAAAATGTTAATAATTGAAAAGCGCGAAATGTATGCCTAAAATAGTATAATTCATATACATAATCCACTCAGTTTTACAGTTCGCAATCTAGCTCAAACCTCTACGGCTTTTGTTTCTAATGTTATTATAAATAAGAAGAAATGCCTTCTAGAGTTTCTTGAGGTTCAAAATCTTGACACTATCCAACTGATATTATTATCACATAAAGATGAAATGCTTTGATCGAATTTGTCGAAATATTTTAAATTAGTCATATAAAGCTAACTCAAACTTTAATTAACAATAATATACAAAGCCAAAGGTTGAGATTGCACAAACGATTTCTATAGATAGAACGAAATTTTGCAAATCTAATTACTGCTTATAAGTCGGATAGAAAGGGATGAAAAAAATTAACTGTTGAATGTTACTGTCTTAGCACATAAAAGAGAGGTTTTTCCTTTAAGGAAAGAAGCTTTTTTTCTTGATTCCACAAGATCTTGACATAGTTGAGCTGTCATTAAATATCTCATCATTATTCTATGTTTTATTCCCCTATCTACTATCTTAAACTGAACAATAGCGTAAATCAGACTTATTAAAAAGTTTATTTCGAATTAATCAGCTTGATTGACAGATGTTAAATGATGAAAACAGAAATAAATACTGGCAATAAATAAAAAAAGAACTTTGATATGTAGAGAAACATCAGAAATAAAACATATTTACCAATGGTTTTTTGGTGTCCTTCCATTTAGTAGTGACAGACATGTTCCAATTGTTCCAGCCATCATTAGGCAAATCGTATAAAGAATTACTTTGAAGTAATATCTGAATTTCGGAGAAATAATCCACAGAGGACCAAATGCAATGCATACGAAAATCAGAATATGAAGGACATTTAATTCATTCTCCATATTCTGCAATAAAGAAATGAGAAAATAAATGATGACAACTTATAGGACGACATCAGAAAGAACAGAAACAGGCAATTAGGGAATAAATCAGATATAAATATTGCTGAAATTAAATAATTGCGTAATCATATATGAGTAATGAATTAATAAATTATCAAATTTACTTGGCTAAAAATGATTGGTCCGTTAGCTGGTATCAGTTTCCTCCCCGAAGCAACTATTGAATATCTTCTCACTGATTGAACCTCTATTGAGTTCTGCTTTATTATCTGAATTTAGTTCATTGCGATAAGTCAATAACTTTGGTTATAATTTGGATCATGGCTATACTTCCGCATCGATGTTTTATTTTATTGAAGAGTTTTGCCATATTGCTAACATTGGTTTAGGTTACTGGGTATTTTAATGTTAGCACGTTTCGTGCTGTGTCTAATTACATTCTGTTCTTTTTTTTCTGAATATTTTATGTTGATTGAGAATGACTTTTGGTAGTGTTTTGAAGCAAACCTGATCCACTGTTATTCTTTTGAGTTGTCTAATCCTGGCAGTTATTTGTTCTTTGGCAGTAGTCAGGTTTATAATTCAACTCTCAATGATTTTATTCAGCTGATGATAATGATATGTACTAAGAATATTGACAAATTAGATCGATAGCGATTCTATAATGACATTTACTGCATTTATATCAGTAATTTCGCCTTTTGTTCCAAATTGAAAATCGTTTCTTCTCTCTAATTTAATTCTATCATATACCTGATATTATACAGAATAATCAAGAGTAGATAAAACATGGACACCTCATCACTCTCTTCCATTGGTTATATACGGAGAAGCAGATACATGCTAACAACATTGTAAGATGAAAGAGACATACGAAAAGAAAATGGTCCATGGTGCCTAACTTTGTCACATCAATCTTCATATCGCTCCTTATTATTTATTTCAAAGGTCATTTATACTTGTCTACCCTGGACAGTTATAAAAAAACATCTTCCCGAAACAAACCAAACGACAAATTCCGCTCACACCCCGCAATTATTGGATACTGATGGCCACTCCAAACACCGGCCAGCCGTCAGATACCTGGCGTGCTGTGGTGGAAAAGAGAATGGGAAAAGTTGAGGTAAAAGTAATAGTTGTCGAGAGCAGTCCTTGAGAGATTCCGAGTTCTTCTGAATATCAAGATCGGCGCAGATTACTTATTCTCAGAGAAACATTTATTTAGGGTCAGTTTTGTTCAGCTGTATTAGATATGATAACTGCAACCATTGTTCGAGAATGACATGAAATGGTTAGTTCGTAAAGGATTCATTCGAGATGACCTGTCACATTCTTCTTTCCTTGACAGCTCTCTTTCTCTCATTACTTTCTTACCTGATTTTCCTTCTTATTAAGCAATACCATGAACAATATGTTTTGCATAGAATATATCAACGTTATATACGAATAGCTTGGTATTCAACATTTTTTCAGGTATATGACGTGATGTATATCAAGTAATATCAACAACGAAAACAGACATTATTGTTAATGCTGAAACATTTACGGCTGGAAGAAGTGAACAAATAAAAGTAAAATAGGTAAATATAACCGATCGTTGTTGATAGTACCGTGCATTTCCTCAAGAAGTGTATGATTCGATAAAACGGACACAACAAATCTATCATTAGCGAAGTTTTGAGTTTATGGAACATTTTTATTGTATGGAAACTTATTAGACATCCAACTCAATAAGAGATGGTGCTATCATTTCTTGGATACCGCAAGATGATTCACAATGTCCTGCTGGCAAGCCCACTTCGCCTGGCAGCCCACTTGGCCCTGGTGGTCCTGGTTCACCACGCTTTCCTGGCGGCCCACGAGGTCCCTGGAAAAATTAATAAATCATGTAATGAGTTTTCTTTTTAAAAAATTATGCGGAAAAATAGTTCAACACTTTCTTTTAAAGTGCTTTTATATAAAAAAAAAAATGATAACTCACTGTTTCACCGATAGGTCCTGCAGGCCCCATATTGTTGGAAGGAATACCATTCGGTCCAGGAGGACCCTTAGGACCACGCGGTCCTGGTGGTCCAGGCGGCCCTTTAATACCTACTCCACCGATAGCGTCATCACCAGGTGGTCCTTTAATGCCAGCGTCGCCCTCCTCACCCTGCCTGCCCGGTGGGCCTGCTGGTCCTACTCGACCAGGTAGTCCTGGCTTACCAGGCAAGCCAGGTGGTCCGGGTTCTCCAGGAACACCAGGTCTACCCTGTTCTCCTTGCTGTCCATGATTGCCTGGTGGTCCTGCAGGACAAATCACGCTGTAATTTGCTCTTCTTAAACTGAATTGTTCAAATTTTTGCATTAAGTATTGACACATCTCTTCAAAATGTATGTTAAAAGGAAGGTATGGAAAATAGAATATGCAATCTGAATTACCTGCTGCAGAATATGCAACCTGAATTACTTTCTGCAGAATATGCAACCTGAATTACTTCCTGCAGAATATGCAACCTGAATTGCTTTCTGTCTTCCCTTTCCTCTAATTATATTCCAACCTTAGCTTTCACTTCCTGTATTATTATCCTCCACTCTCAATTACAAAGTTTTTTACCTCATATCTTTAATGCAGATAACAGACATCAAATTGAAGGGCATGACAACATTAGGAACTAACCACGGGAAATTAGGTTCGGCGTGATCCAATACATCAATTCCATCAATGCCCGCTTTACCCGGTCTTCCAGGGAGGCCATCTGCACCAGACTCTCCATCTAAGCCTGGTGGTCCTCTAGGTCCAGGTGGACATTCTAAACTAATGCATGAGTCGCATTGTTGATATTCACCCGCCATGAGATGTTCCGAATAAACGTCTGAAAACAGCTATATTTTCAGAGTCGAAAACTTTTTTACAATCAAATGTTATCATCACTTTCTATAAATCGAACTTATTAGATAAAGATTCATTTTTCTCCAAGATTTTTAATTATAAAATTTGAGAAAGTAATATGATTATTTTTTAAGTGAGTTTAATGTTTTATCACAACTTTTATCAAGTTACGTCGCGAAAAAGAAAGTAGAAGAGAAAAGGAAGCAGATGAATAAATTAAAATTATGTTAAATAATATTAAATTTACCTCTTTTTATGGCTTGACTTTTTCGTAATGCAAGAATATCTATCCAAATGTTTTTTCGTGTTTCCTATAATTATAAACTGAAATTGGAATCTACATAACAATTTTATTGTTACCTGCACTTATCATAATTAATTGCAGCAATTGAAAATAGAGTTTTCAACTAATCTACTCGAATTTATTACTTTTTTGAATGATCACAAAATCTTAATAGGAAATTTTTGAAATTTAACTTCGTTAAATAAAAATTTCCTAGTTTACACCTCCAATATTGCCATTCGTTTTTGCAAATATTGCTTTGCGCGCTCAATTCGTAGAAACAACGATATGTGTATAACAATCATTGTTGTTAACAAAAAAAGCGATATAAATATTGTAATGCGAGCTCGATTAAAAGCATTTTTGTGATTGTCCACCATGGAAAACTGAAATTTTTGAAGCAAAAATCACTTTATCTCCAAATTATGCGCTTTTTTATTTTTCATCTTTTACTTTACCTTTTGGAGCAAATTTGAATGGATGAGTTATGGGAAATAATGAACTGTCGTTTATATAAAATTATTTACAAAAATGTAAAATAAAATATGAAAATAAAAGATAAAATATTGATAATAAAAAATACTACAATAAAATCGAATATTTAAATATTTGCAATAATAAAATTTCAAAAATAAATTTTAAAAGATAAAATTTTAGTTTGGAAAGAAAAGGTTAATTTTATATTAACTTTTTTGCGTTTAGTTATGTGTTATGTGAAAGACTTTTTAATGAATTAGAAAAAATTTCAATAGGCAGAAAAATAACGATTATTGCCAAATTCTTAATTCAAGAAGTTGAGATTTAAACAATACTAATTAGAATTCGAATGTTACATATTGAAATAATGCAACTGCTGAAGTGTGATGTGAACAATATGAGCAATGCACTGAAATTCATATTTTAAGGTCAAGGTGATAATATGAGATCTGTGACATCGTTCAAATACCTTATAATCACTCTCCTCATTGATTTATCTTATGAATAGTTTTCTTTTCCATAACTGCCATATAATCATTGAAATTTATCACTGTATAATTTAAAAACTATTTAGTAACAAAGAATATTTGCAAACGAAAATGCCAACAAATGTAAATTTGAATAATATAAAACGAAGTGATAAATGCATGTGAATTTTTATCATTTCACTAATTTACGCTCTGGTTGATTATAAAATTATCTTAGAAAGATTAGCAGAATGTTCTTTATTGCCATGATGGTAATGAATTTGGAAGAATTCATAAAGAGGTGATAAATTTCATCAAAACAAGGATTTTATGATAATTTCATAATAGATTTCATTAAATTGTGGTGTCTTGAAGGAATAAGTCGATCATTTTCTCTCATCTGTGTGATGAAGTGAATCTAATAATTGTTATCACCAATAGAATACAAAATATATAGTTTATTTGAATGTTAAATAAAAAATTCGTCTTTACATGGAGACTAGAAATTATAGTATTTAAAATTCATGTCATATTGAAACTACTTGAAATAAATATTTACAAGTATTTTTAATGTAATATATTGTAAATGTGACAAATTAATGAATGCAAATTTTCTTTTTGCAAAATCAATCAAACAAATAAATGAAAGAAAGTTTTAACATTTATACAAGAAAATTATCGTAAGGCAAAGCAGAAAATTTTTAATTAATAATATTTCGAGCAATCATTCAGTGATTGATAAAATGATATCAATTATCAAAATTACTCATCAACACGAATATATGAGCTAATTTAGTGAAACTTTCAATTTGAAGACTAACAGTATAATTTTTATCACATACAGTGCTTAAATATAATGTAATTCAGTATCCCATTACTACACAATAGTAGTATCATGCAGTAATTAAGTTTACATTTTTAAAGTTTATCGTTTTAATTCGTCATATGTCATATGTAGAATGCATAATGTTTATCATTTGGAAATGTTTTTATTGATCTTTTCAATCTTTCGATTTTTTTGAATGTTGTCACGTTTTTTTTTCCATTTTCAGTATTTGCAACATATTTTGTTTCCTCTTTCTTCTTCATAAATCATTCTTTCAATAAAGCATTTTTTAACATTCGTTTTGCTTGGCTTTTTCAAAAAAAAAATTAATGATCAAATAAATTATTGCTTTATGCAAATAAATCACTTCAAATTGTTATATTTTCTAATTGCTGGTACTTTTTCATATTCATTTTACTTTCTCACATATCATTTATTTTTTTCTCCTTTTTACAATAAAAGATATTTCAACACAAATACGGTACCGCTGGAAAGGGCATAAATCGTTTGTGTCTGTGGCGATTTTCATTTTTTACATGACGTCTTCTTCTTGAAGCTCCGGATATGAAATTCCACGGAAATTGAGTATGTAATGGGTTTCGCACATCCCACGGAAAACTCTATAATTGTTAGTAAATTTTTAAAATTTTCGAAAATGAATTCTTATGATTGACATTAAAAATATTGAAATAAATTTCTTCCAAATGGTTTACTTTATTTCGCTAACATTTAGCACTTAGCGAACGAATTATTTATTATTTCTATCATTCTAAGTTTTTCTTGCTTGAAATTATTTAATATATTTGCATGAGTGAAAAATCAAGAATTATTTTAAATTTTGAAAAAAATTTCAATTAAAAATTTTTGTTTCCCCAATGTGTAATAGTATTCAGGCAAATGAAATTTCGTACCGGTGCAAAAGTCAAAAAAGAAACTTGTCACAGCGGAAAAACTGAGAAACAGCCGAGAAAAGAAAAAATTTTTTCTTCCTTTTTTCATCATGTATAAACAAATTTTAAAATGATTGCATTAAAATTTGATTGATTGGCATTCTAAAGCCCACTAAAGAATGTTGCGAAGTTGTAAAATATTATATTTCTGAAAAGTTTTATAATTTGATGCATAATAATAAAATATTTGTGTTAGTTCTGCATTAAATAAACTAATTGTATTAATTATAATAATAATTTTATTATTCTTGCATCAAAAAGTAAGCTTATATCGCCTATTTTTTTCGATTCTCATAAGATTTAAATTAAAATGAAGAAAACCGACTCGTTGAATGCTGTCTTCAAGATCCCTACTCCAACGATTTACTTCTTGTTTATAGACTTCCAATTTTCGATAATCCATCGGTGTCATATTACGTAAATACACGCCATCTTTATAAATTTTACCATTCTGAATATCAATTTTTTTCATCCCTTGTTTAGAAGGTTGTAAATAGACAAAATGTCTTTAATTTAATTTTAGTTTTTGCATATAATAAATTTGTATATTAATATTTCAATTATTTTCAGCAAAATTCATCAAGAAAAATAAAAAAGAATAAATGAAGCGGAAGAAAATGGTCCCTTATTGTCTGTAATTTGTTAACCAAAGGCTGTAATACCTTTTGTTATTGTCACCCGAAAACGATCATCGATTAAAATTGCTTGATTAAATGAAAGAGTGAAACAAAAAATTACAACAACATAGCATCCTTTGCCACCAGAAACGAATGCACCGTCTGCGTTGTAGCATACATTGTTGACACAGATGACATTACCGTTGAAACTATTGATGATTGCATGTTGTACTTGTGATTTCACCATTACCATAACAAGCAACAAAAGATAGAAACTGAAAATCTCGAGAGTTACGAGTAGTTAGGATAAAAATTAACTATAGAAAACTGAAATTGTTGACAGAACATCGAATGTTCATTTTTTACAATTCTTTCCTGCCAAAAGATGCATCGTTTTTACACATATCCTTTTTTGATTCCATTTTTGCAATAAGACGTAATTAAATACTGCCATTGGATTTCAGATTAAAATGCTAAATTAAAAAAGGATTCGTTAAATATTTATGCTAATAAACAGCAAAAGACAGTAATCAAAAAATAAAGAGTGCCATAGGAATGGTAAAAAAAGAGAAAAAACTAACAGCATCTTCTTCATGGGACATCTAATAAGTCGAAAGAATAATAGAAGTGAGAAGAGCTGATTACTAAAAAAAGAAAAAGGAATTAAACAGGTGAAATATTTACGAAATAGGGAAGAAGGAAGAACTGAAAATAGAGATGAAGAGTCGTATCAGAAAGAATAAAGTGCAGAAATTTCGAAATAATTAATCTTAAAATTTATACAAAGTTTAAAAAAAATCAATTTTGTCCTTTGCAGTATACGTCGGTGATGATGGAAATTGATGCTTCTACGTTCTCAATCTAAAAAAAATTTTTTACAAATCAATCGTTTCAATCAGATTTGACGATAATATTGCATGAAAAAAAGGCAATCGCTTTTTTCGCACTTTTATCAATTTTAAATTTGGTGAAAAATTAATAAATATTGAATTTTTTGCAATTTTGTTGCTCTTATGTAATGCACTTATTAATTTCATAATTTGATAACAAATAAGAAGCAAGCAAATAGCAATTGTTTTAAATGTTTGATAAATGCAATCATTTTCTTATAAAAATTAATATTGTGATGAGTCACTCCAAATTCCAACCGTAGCTGAAATCAAATTTATCAAAATTGTTTTTGTAATACTGCACAAGAAATTGTAGAAAACCGGTCTTTACATCACATAAATAATATCAAGTTCCTCTTCTGTATCACTGATAATTTGGGAAAAGTTAATGGAAGTGGGTCAGTTTATTGTAAATCATATCATTCATTTATCAGTTTGAAATAATTGCCATGTTTTTTTCAATTAAATATTATATTGCCTTTTCTCTTTCTTCTTTTTTTAATAATATTATATTTGACATTTTGCAATTAATTATCATGCCATATCACTTCATACGTTTTCTTCTTCTTTAAGAAAAAAGATAATTCCGAAAATATCATTCTTCGGTTAAATCAACATTTTGCATTTATTAATTGATAATAAATCTTTAAATTTATTATAATTTCTCATTTAATGAAAAATAGCGAAAAAATTTTAAAAACAATAAGCAAGAAATAATTTCCCTTCAGACGATTTGTAAATATGCGTAATTAACAAATGAAATGTAATGATTATATTTTTAAATGTATTTTGAATCTCTTTTCACTGCGTAACTGTATCAAAAATATGAAAAACTCGATGTTTCATAGAAAGGCAGTAGCACTAACAGGAACTCGTTTTTTAATTTTTCTTTGAAATTAAAAAATTAACATTTGGTTTTTTTTCCACCTTTCCTTTCCTTTTCTCTTTTTCTCTCTTCTTCTTCCACAAGCATTTTTATGAAATAATATTTATTAAATATCACTTCATCCTAAATATGTCTGCACATATTGCATATATTATATGAATAATTGCCTTAAAATATTAGAAAAATGAAGTAGTCGATACCTCATAAACAAATCAATTTCTTATTTTAGAAAAAATCAAAAGTTTTTCCAATTAATTTGATTTAAACAATCAAAAAATTTTTGCTTCTTCCAATTAATACAAAAAAACTACCAATAATTCATACTTACTTATTACTCATAAAAATGAAAAAAAAAACGAAGTAAAGAAAATATGAAACGAACAAAGGTCCAATAAAATGATGAAAAATTTTAAAAATTAATATAAAAAACAACAGAAGAAAAATTCTAGTCAATTTTATTTATATGACAATATTTAACGGTAATTATGAATACTGAATTGTTTTATTTTATGAAAAGTAAATTAAAGCGAAATATGAAAGAAAAAGAAAAAATTAAAATATTGTCTTGTATGAGAGAGTCCCAGAAAATTTTTTCTTTCTGCAAATATCAACGTTGCATTCTATCTCAAAGAATTGATATCTTCGAGTTTGTTTTAAAACAGTGACTGACTTAATAGTTTCAGTTACGTATAGTGTTATCTTTGTACTTTTCTATCCGATTTAAGACTTTAAATATAAAGAGAAGAGAGATTATTTTTCTTTTCGATAATTAAAAAAATTTAAAGACTTATAGCATTAAAAGAAGAAAAAGTAAAATCTGTGGGATAATAGATGTACTGAACATATTGTCATATCATTTCTCGAGAAAAGTAAAATAAAATGTTGCATTGAATTAACAAGCAGTTTCGATGTATGATAATTGTTAGTTGAATCATTAATTTTTTCTTTTATTTCAACAAAATGTTTCGATCAATAATGTATCAAAAAAAAGGAGAACTCTTAAGTTTCAAAATTTAACAATATTATTCATTTGCAAATTTTTTCATTCAAAAAAAGTGAAAAAATTGTATAATACATTTAATAAACATTAAAACCAAAATGGTATGACCGGTTATGTCAGAGTATCTTTTTCAGGACACTGATCCGCAGGAGTGAATTCAGTAACAAAAATTTTACCGATTATCTTCTGTATTAACATAAAAATGAAAATTGCTGATACCGCACCGAAATAGCAACCATAAATGAAGAACTGAAATATTTTTCGGTTGAAAATTTCAAAGTAGTTGGATTTTCAAAATATTTGGGCAGCATGCAAGCAAGCTTGCCATCATTTTGCATTTTTGAAGTGTTTTTGGGAAGTCAAATTATTGCAATGATATTAAATTGGAGTTTTGGAGTGGAACTGAAATAAAAATGAAAAATACTTTCTATAAAATCTTCAAAAGTTTATTAATATTAATAATTGTCATGATGAAATCGAAATCACAAATGTTATAATAGTCAAAATCCTGTAGTATGCTTTTATTATATAATCATTTTATAGTTTTTTATAAAACTTTAAATGGAAACTTGGACTAAAAAAAATAAAATAAATCGAAATAAAACGAAAATAAATAGAACAAGACACCTTAATGAAAACTCTCAGGTAATTTTGTGCTATAAAATTACCTGTGTACGTATATCAAGTGCCAAGCCATGCTTATCAACAACAATTAAAGTTAGTATTGTTTGCAGAAAAAGTGCAACAAAAGTACTGGAACCAAATACTAAACCATAAGTTGCTGCTGTCAGTTCTGTGGCAATATTGGTACTGGAATGAAATCCTCCATATTTCTTCCAATATACAAATTTCTTTTATTAAATTTAAAATTTGCTCTTAATTTTATCTAAATTTTATATTTTGAGAATTAAATTTAAAAAAAAGATATTTTAGTGGTGAGTAAAATTTTTTTGTATAAATCTTCATGAAAGCATTTGAAATTATTACAAAATAATGTAAATAATAACTTTAAAATATTATATTAATAAAAGACACATGTATAATTCATTGAAAATGTTAGAAATTGTGATAAAACATTCTCGATAATTTATAATCAAACGATAAGCAATAATTATTGAGTATGGAGAAAAGAAGGATGAAATAATTTCACTGAATTCTCTCATCACCTTACCTTGCTGCAGTCATAAGTAACTGATAGATGGTAGCAAAAACTATGTAAAGAATATAAGCAATGAAAGCACTGGTCGTCTGAGACATTATAATCAGTAATATAGCGCTAATCATCGAATTGATCCACAGTATCAATTCACCGCATTTCACCCAATCAATTTTCAAATATTGTACGAAAAAACAAACGATCGCTCCTGTTTAATGTCTTTTCAATCAAAGCATTAATTATTTCATTGATACATCAGAATATGTAAGCTTTAGTCTTGAGTCTCATGATCTAATTTGATATTCTTACTACTCATACTAAATTGATTACTCATTTCATGCCGTTAGTTGAACTTTCACTGAAATGTCTAAACTGTAATCTTGTACTAAAATTTAAGTTGGTAATTATAGTGCTGACACTCATAAGATATTACATGTTTTTGAAGAAATGATACCGATTAATTTTCCTCTAATTTAAAACGCACACTAAACGTAAAAAACGTTTCTCGGATGAAATAAATTATAAATAAATGCAGGTTAATTTCGAATATTATTAATATGAAATGTTTTATATTTTGTTATTGCATTCTAATTTTTCATTATTAAAATCATACAGTTTATCTCAAATTTTATCAAAAATTTTTGTCTCTCTTATCTCGCAAATATTATATTTTTATTTATCGAATCTTTGAAATGAACAATGATTGCACGGGATTGGAATAAAAAAGAGTGCATACCAATCAAAGTGGCTGTACACTCTGTGATACCATTATATGCCTCATCATTCTGCTGTAATAAAGCCCATAAATTTTGCACATAATTTTGAACCTAAAATAAAATTCAAAAAACAAATAATTGTTCTAACAAAAAGTCTTTATCAAACAGATTTTAATTTGTATAACCTTAATTGTGAATTCTGAATTTTTAACTTTTTTATTGTATTATTGTTTATCAATTCATGAGCTTAATACTTTTTGGTGCATATTATTATTACTATTATCTTTATCTGCGATAATAATATTAATTTGTGAATAACAATTGTCTTACATATGTAGAATAAATAGTTAGATTCCTGGATTTGCTTAATTCTTGAATTTTTCAAAATTAAAGTAAAAAGTTGGCTCTGGGAGGAATTGACATCTGAAGACATAAACATGTGATTAATTGATCTTACCTGAAAAGTTCCACAACTGGCCAATGACCACCAAATGCACCATTTGAATACGGCTCTTTTACTCTTAAAAACCATTAAATGTCTCCAAGCATTTTGAAGGTAAGTCTTCAGTCCAGGATCAACTGTCACAGACATTGCATTTAGTGATACCCTGTGCTATATCCAAATTTACGTTGATAAATAGTATGGTCGGCCACTTATACATTGCTAATTAATTATTTATTGTGAAATGAAACGAATTAGTTAACTGTACTGCTGGAAAGTAAAAGCTAACCACAATTTTTAGAAAATTTCAGCTAAAAAGACACGAAGAATGACAATTATTTAAAATAAGTTAACCTTTCGTTGTCCTGTATTTCGACTATTTGGTTGCAATTTTCCACTTCTATTAAATTCTTATTCTTGATCATTTTGGGTGATATTGATGGAAGTAAGCAAGCCATTAATAAAGTAATGCAACCGGAACCAAATGAAATCTAATAAGCCAAAAGTTATCTCAACAATTGATGAAAAATGTGTTTCATTGGGAAATAAAAAGATTTTTTTTGAAAAAAATATACAATTTTTCTCAAAATTGTACAATTTTTAAATTATAATCTAAGATTATTCATATATTCATCGGAAACTGAAAATCGAAAAGATGACTGATATATTTCTAAATGAATTATCGAGTAAATCTGATTCATTAGGTAATTTTCAAGCATTTGTTAGAATGTTTTGATTTACTCATTAATTTATTGATCTGTATATAAATTTACTCATTTTTTTGCCATAAACATTTTATTTTGCAATGATTATTTAGTCAAAAATAAATAAAATTTTTCGCTTCCTAACCAATCACCTTTTTTATGGAGTCAATTTTTTATTCAATCGGTTTTTTGTGTTGAATACATCTTAAATTGGTTTTTTTAAATTTTATCAATATGTCACTTGTTGGTAAATTATTTGAAATGAATTTATCAAAATATTTACTTGCCTCATGTAGCTGTAAATATGAAACAAGTCGAGTCGAAATAAGCAGCTGACCGGAACCGTAAGCTAGAAATTTGCCAAACAGTGCAGCTGCTCTGACAAATGAAGTGATGCGTTTGAAATGCTTTTGATCAACAACTGCATACATGTAGGAAACATAGGCAATGTCGGATGCTGTTGACAGTCCTATTATGAATTTTTATAATTTAATAAACTTTTATCAATTTATTCTTTCATATGCCAATTCAACCTTTTTTTAACTTCATTTTCTGAAAGAATAATATGAAATTGTCATGAGTGATTGTTAAATGTATGACATACAAACCAAAAATGATTTCCATTAACTGCATTTGCCATACTTTATTGCCCCAAAGAATGATTGCATGAGAAGCGCAATATGACATCGCTTCGAGGACTACAATTGGCTTATACCGCAATATGTCAGTGAGAAAAAATATTGGTATCTGAAAGACAAAATTAGTTTAAAATGTGAATTAATTAAAATTTGGCTCGTTTTTTCTATTTAAACTTCATTTTATCGTGATTTTAGTAGCGAATGGTGAAAAAAATAAAATAAAATAAAAAGTTTAATTGTAATATTGTATTTGATGTTAAAAGGAAATAGCAATTAAGTGATAAAAATAAAAAGAATCAAGTATAAAGCTATTGTATATTACCATGCTTATTCGGTTTATAAAATTCAACCAATTTTTATCATTTTCTATTTTTTACATTGTAGAAAAGACAAAAATTCTACCACTAAATTATTCGTTGATATCATTCAACAAAAATGATGTAATAATGAAATTCACTTCTAAATTTTATATCATAAATGATGCATTTAAAAGCAATAATTTAAATCATAGTTTCGCACTCTAATCTGAATTGTATCCCTCATATGATTTTGCTTCACTTCAACTTATAATTTAATTCCAATTAATTTTATTCTTTTCTACTACTAACAATTAATCAATGCTTGAAAAGTCTATTACACCATCCAATAACTTACCAGTGCGACCAAATATGAATAAGTCCATAACGGATATATTTGACTGTACAGTTGAACATCGGTAAAATTTTTACAGGATGAAACGAGGAACGGTGTCAAAAAAGGGGTCGCTGGACGGAATTTCTTGATCATTCCGAATAAACATATGAAATATGCTACATGTTTCCAGTGCATTTCGGCTGATCATATATTGTCTGCAATTTAACGTTTTTTCCATTTTAATTTCTTAATTGATTGAAATTGAATCAAATTTCATCTTTACTTTTCATTTCTTCATACATACACATACAAATACACGCATATTCCGTACATGTAAAAGATTGGAATAGGAATAGTACAGGGAAGAGAAGGATCAAGGATCGAGAAAGGAAACGGGAAAGTATAATTGGTGGTTATTTCTGTGTGTAATGAAAGGCGCATAAATGTTTCGTAACCGATCGACCGCCCCATCATTCCCTTCTTCCTATCCTATCACACTTTTACACTTTCAGTAGTGAACAGGTGTCCAAAATAAAAATTAAATAAATTATTTTCTTTTCTTCTTCCCTTACTTCTCCTATCAAATAATGTTATTATCTTTCCTTTCATAGCTCAAATAATTGGTTCATTTCATGATACTTTTTTTGAAAAAATTTTCTTTTATTTCTTTCTTTCAAACATATGTAAAGTGATCGATTAAATGAATGTTAGAAAAGTTTTCGGATTATTAATTAATTAGCTATTGGTTATAAAATATGGATATGGAGAAAATTGTGTTAACATTAATGAAGCTGCTAAGACTGAAACAAACTTTTGCTAACTGTTTCACCAATTAACTTATTGTGTATATGTACAATGCATGAAATGAACAGGAAATTTTGAGTATCATCAAAAGAAATGCATTAGTGAAGTGAAATTACAGTTGTCATTAAAGAAGGATATCAGTTAATGCTGACAGACGAGTTTTTCATAGCAAATTTTAAAACTGACATTTTTGGCGCACAATTTGTCATTTTTTCAAACGGTAAAGAAAATAAAGAAGCGAAAAAATTTAGTCACTGGTTGGATAGCAAAATGCGAATACTGCAAAATTCCATTTAAATTTTACGAATGATATCAAATTATAATTTGTTGCTGCTAAAATTAAAATTTCACTCCAGAAATAATAGGATGTTCCTTCTAAAAACACTCCAGAAATAATAAGATAATCTCATCATCACAGCAGGACTTCCAACAAACGTGCAGTATTTGCAATGCTTTTTCCACATTATTGAAGAATGTGAAGGAAACTTAAATGGCAGAAAATTTTATAAATTTTCTTAAATTATTCAAATTTTTGAACTATCAGTTCTTGCATGGTGTCTGTCTCTCTGTTGTGCTCCTAACGGTGGTGGCATTTGGATGAATGATACGGAAACGAAATTAGATAACAGCTGAACTAAATCAGATCAAACCACATATCAAATCGGACGACTGATCAAATTGATCAATTCATCCTCATTAATATATCGCTTTAATTTTAATATCGAATAAAAATTTCATATTAAAAATTGAAATTATGTAAATTTTTTTCAACATAAAGAAATGCTATTGTGGGATTTATTCGTTCCTTTGTTAAATCATTTGAAAAGAGGAAAAAAGAGAACAGTACAACGGTTATAGGGTCTCTTTATCGAGCAAAGGTAATTGGCAGTACAAAAAAATTCTTCCTTTTTTATTTCTTTCTTTTTTTTCATTCCCTTTTTTTGTCTTTCTTTTTTAATATGATTGAATACCTCTTCTTCTTTGTTACCCTGTTATTTCAAAAATTTACTTCTCTCAATTTTGATTTAAAAAAAATGTAATGTTTGTTGAACTTTATGATGGTGGAACAAAAAAAAGTAATATATATTTAATTGCAAAAAAGTTTGCATGAATAATTCCAAGTTGATAGTTTTGGGTATGACAATTTGTACACTTATTATTTATTCATTTTTTTTGCTTTCGAATTTGATTTATTAAATTGGACGAATTTTTGTAAGTAATAATAAAAATTTAACTAATATGCAGATTGTTTGCAACATTAATCAATAAATTTTTTGTAATTGAAAATCTAAAATCACAAACCATCAGCTATACATCATTCAATTTTTCGATGTTATCAGCTTATCTACAAAACATTTCTTTTCAAATAATGTGTGTCTTCTGCAGTTTGCAGAATGCAAAGTATACTTTGAAGTTTTAATATGTAATTGTGCTTTATCACTGAGAAGACAATACATTT